AAGGAGACTTATAGTTCAGAAAAATACCACATCACCATTAAAATTATCCATTAAAAATTTTATCACAAAGAGAAGGTATTGTCTTCTAATAATTAAGATTACACAAAATTAAATTACAACAGTCATGGGACACAAAAAATTAAATTTGCTAAAAATTACTAGTTATACCTGTTTTGGTAATGAATTAAATTTTAAATATTATTAAATATTTTCAAGTTCAAGAAACACTTCTAAAGCCTTGCTGCACCAAATTAAAAATCATCAGTATTAAAGAAATTCTGATATTAAAATTGATCAAATAAAGTTAGGTCAACCTCTGGGTTGCCTTCCACATAGTTAAGAAGTTATGTTTGCCGATGAAAAAAATTGATTTTAAAAGCAATATGATTCTCTATATATATTTTTTAGTAAATAAGGTAACATTCGTATCGGTCGAAGAATTTTTTGTAATTCTTGTTTGACAAAATCGATAAACATCCGCATGCCGTAAAGTCAAATCGCTTCCGGCTAACATTTCCGAATTTTTGGGACTTTTTTGAAATGGAAAACATTGACTTCAAGAATTTTACTGATAAATACTTATTTGTTATCGGAAACAACTTGCTTGTAATTCTATGGAAGCTCCTGAATAAATTTACTTTGTGTAAGCAGTAAACTGATCTAAATATACTGATGAGATATAGTAAACATTATAGTAATTAATAAGAAAAAAATATGAGGAAATTTTGGTATTGTATAATAATGAAAAATTTATAAGACATAGTCTTTCGAGTATGATTGGTATTATTTGAAATAATTTAATTAGCTATAAACAGCAACTAGGTTTCAAGGGTTAAGCCCTAAAACCTTGCTCCTACTAGATCAAAATTTCAAGAAGTATCAGGTCATTTTTTCAAATATCATTCTATTACATAATTGCCTTCATTTTGTGCAATGGATAGTCTGCAATATGGTCTGTCGTCCCAAAATTTCATATACCACCCGCGCAGAAAGCATTACTCAAAAAATAAACAAGTCATTGTCAGATATCCTTCTGGCACCGGACACATTTTTTCGTCTGTTTTTCGAAACCGGAAATTTATCAAAACCAAAACCGCATGGGCAGACGATTTTTTTGCGAAAGGCAAATCTATATCCTAAGTACACTAAAGCAGTGGTAAAAAACTACCATTTATATATGGATATATAGTAATTCATATGGAAGTCATCGTTTACTAAGATTACCAAATTGATTGATAATTTTATATATATTGATGACTAATTCCTACATTAGGTTGCTCTCTAATTTTATTACAATAATTAAAAGTTAAAGTAATTAATCATTAGTTAACACCTGCCTAAATTATTTTTCAAGATTATTCCATTTCTAATAGGATAAAAAAATAAAAGAAGTTAGATAAAGCTAATAAATTTAAAGCAATATAATTTTGAGTTTTTGTATAATCATTATATTTGTTTATTAATATTATATTAATTTATTAGTAAATTATTTTTCAAGGTTTCAATGTACACACAATAGTAAACATCTATATCTAAAAGTATTATCATTTATAATTTTATGTGAATTTTTAGTGAGTATTTAGTTTAAAAAATTTGGTTGGTTTCAATAATTAAAAGTTTCTGAAGAAGTATTAAAACATTACTTCACTACATTACTTTGAGAAGTTAATAAGCATTTTTTTGAGAACAAAGTAAGACCCTTGGTTCAGAAAAATAAAATCACAAATAAGAATAGCAATCCAGAAAAACATTTAAAAGCTCTTAGTTGCAATTCGATAAGGACTGGTTGATTTCTTTTGCGAGATGATCGGCTAAGCCGTTTCTTTAGAATTAGCATGAAAGTGCAAAATTGGTAATCGAGCTGATTAGGTTCTGTTATAAATTGGAGATTCATTTCTACGTAATTATGGATTAATTTTTTTTGACGATTTTGATAAAGGTAGTTTATGGTTTTAACCGTTATATATCATAAAATATTAAGCCTTTGAAAAATGTTTAATTATAAAAAAATATTAGAGTTTGGAAAAAATGGGACGTGACAAAAATTCAATATTTTATTGTCACAATTAAAAAGTTGCTACATCTCAATTTTTTAATCCCAAAACCTAATGTTTTGACAAATTATTTGAATAACGTTATGTATTTAAAAAATTTATTGGTATTCTCCTTGTTTTTTTTTTAATTAAATAACGAATTTACAAATATTTTATGAAAATGATTACTATTTCCTCAACTTTCGCCTTGTCTCCATGGACTTTGCGCATGTTTGCATACCTAACAGTGACTCCGAGTAAGGAAAAGCAAATTTCGTACAGGCGCCCGCCGCTCCTATATATTGGTCTGCATTCGAAAGACACAAAATAGGCGCCAAAGCCATAACACTATGACGCCACCGATAACTGGTATCCGAAATCCGACAACGAGTTCAACTTTGCCTAAAACGATCCATGAATGACAGGGAATTTGCTTTTGCCAAATAGTACCAGTGATAACGTTACAAACCACATGGTCGGAGGAAAAAAGCAGTGGTATCGAGGGTAGAGGATACATTATTTTTGTAATAAAACTGGGGAAAAGATAATTAAAAAAATCTTATAGATTGTGAATATGATTTTTTATATAGGAAACAGAAACTAGAGTTAACTAGGATGTCTCGTAAATTTAGCGACATCTCGGGATCTTAATAATAAATTTTAGCATATGTACTTATATAAGACTTTCAATTGAGCATTTGTTTTTGAGATAAAATTTATTATTTTATAGATAACTTTATATATGTGGCAGTAGTAGTATCCAGTTTTCTATGGTGGAACAAATCTGTTCAAAATTTGAAGAAAAATATTTTTATTTACAAAAATTATTAAAACACTATTTTGAAAAATTGAGGATAATTATATATAATATTAATAAATAAATATGATATTTAGTCAAGAATTCAAAATTATATTGCTTTAAATTTATTAGCTTTATTTAACTTTTTTTATTCTTCTATCTATATTTTTTTATCACTTTTCTTATCTATTTATTATAAATAAAATGACCTTGAAAAATAATTTAGTAATACATTAATATAATATTAATAAATAAATATAATGATTATATTTATATAAATAATAAATATAAATCATTTTTTGGAAAAAAAGAAGCTTGTAGTTCAGAAAAATATCACATTACTATTAAAAATATTCAATAAAAATTTATCATAAAAAGAAGGGTTTGTCTTCTAATAATTACAGATTATACAAAATTAAACTACAAAAGCTCAAGGGACACCAAAAAACCTGATTGCTAAGATAATAATAAAAAAATGCTAGTTATTTCTGTTTTGTAATGAATTAAATCTTAAATATTATTAAATATTTTCAAGTTGAAGAAACACTTCTGAAACCTTGCTGCATCACATTAAAAATCATCAGTATTAAAGAAATTCTGATATTAAAATTGATCAAATAGAGATAGGTCAAACTTTGGGTTAGTAGTAAACGTAGTTTTTCAAAATTTCTGAAGAACTATTTTTTTTCAGTAAAAAAACAGGAACCTAATATTAAAAAATGCTTATAATATTAATAAATATAATATTAATAAATAAATATAATGATTATATTTATATAAAAAATATAAATCATTTTTTGGAAAGAAAAGGAGGCTTGTAGTTCAGAAAAATATCACATTACTATTAAAAATATTCAACAAAAATTTATCATAAAGAGAAGGGTTGGTCTTCTAATAATTACAGATTATACAAAATTAAACTACAAAAGCTCAAGGGACACCAAAAAACCTGATTGCTAAGATAATAATAAAAAAATGCTAGTTATTTCTGTTTTGTAATGAATTAAATCTTAAATATTATTAAATATTTTCAAGTTGAAGAAACACTTCTGAAACCTTGCTGCATCACATTAAAAATCATCAGTATTAAAGAAATTCTGATATTAAAATTGATCAAATAGAGATAGGTCAAACTTTGGGTTGACCTTATCGAACCAGTCCTTATCGAATTTCAACTAAGAGCGTTTAAATGGGTAGAACCCTCTTTGAGGCATCGCCGACAAAAGGCAAAATTTTGGCCAAACACACATCTACTTCTTTTCAAATTTGCTACCAAACGATTCAGAATGACTTAAAATGTCGAGAAAATATAAAATTAACAAATTGAACAATCTGACGAAAACAAAATCTTTTCTGCGAGAAATTAAAAATATAGAACAAGTATTTAATATTTACAGTTTATACTAATTTATGCTTGTGCAATGTTGGAACAAAAATATATACATTTAGCTTAATAAAAAGTTAGTAACTATCAATAAAAATTAATTTAGTTGATCAAAGTTTATAAATTTTAAATTAATTTACAAAAGAGTTAAGGAACTTAAACTTAAAGCAAATAACTGATTTGCAAAAATATAAATACTAAAACCATATAAAAGTGTTATGATATTAAAAGTAATTATCAACTGACTAACAAAACAATAGATATTAAAAACCCCGGCCAAAAAACGAACTAAGAAAAAAAATCTAACAGTTATATTAATCATAGAAAGATAAAGCTTCAAATTTCTTATATAAATAAAAGCTCTTTTTAACGTGTTAATAAAAAAGTCGATTCTACCTGTTGAAAAAACGTTGGGTGATCATTCAATATGAAGAGCACATACACATAACACATCTGTATCTATTAGTTAAACAAACACGAGAAAAACAAAGGCAGGTTGTTGAAATTTAAAATAAGCCTCGTAAGGTTTTTTTTTTTTGAAGAAAACCACAGACATACTCAATTAAATGGGCGGTTTTACGTCTATAATATAACTAGATGCCTTCACAAACAGCAGTTGTGATTGATTTTACAAAATATTGTGTATTCTAGACTCGACACTTGTAATTTTAGAATGAAACGGGTAATAGACTTCGAGTGACCGCAAAGTATAAAAAACTTGCTGAAACCTTCACTAAAAAAAGTATTTTAATTTCCATTAAAAATGTGTCTATTACTTTTTCAGGCGCATGTTTCCTGCCCTACGTTTGGGTGTTTCTCGATTGGATCCGGATGCTTTATACTGCGTTTTATTGGAATTAGTGCCTTTGGGAAGAAGTCGTTATAAATTCAGTGGCTCTCGTTGGGAATGTGCAGGAGGTGCTGAACCACAAAGTCCCTTGAGAGCAGCAATGCACCCTGATTCACCAGCCGCTGGACGCCATTGGAATGGACATCCAGTTCTTTTCAACAAAGTCAAATTAACAAACAACACCTTGGATAGTAATGGACATGTAAGTATTGATAGTAAGAAACATATTGTAAGATGTTGTACGTGATTTCCTTATTCCAACACCCTATGAGTTTCATGTGTGGTTTTCACACGGCGGTATTTTCTTGCATCACAAGATTCGCAAAGTAATCGAAGCGTGCACACTGTCAGAATGTGTGCTACCAGAATTTCTTTCATTCCTAGTTAATTCAAAATCACGAGTGATGCACAATGCCGCGATTGTGATCGTATTTAGATAGCTCGAGTACAAAAAGACCCTCAAAAAAACCGCCGGACACAATACCGCTCTTTGTGACATAGATAGCCGCGCTCAGCCAGGGGTCTGTTTGGGTCCTATTAGCGACAATTATAATCTGAAGTGGTCTTATGCTAGTACTGAAATAATAATCCCAGAGGTCTAGTTTTTAGTTCAAGTGCCGCTGGATTTACGCTTTCCAGACGGTATTTGTAAGCTGCTTTTCTCATTATTGAAATCGATCAAGCATTTTATTTCGTCGCGTCTTCGGCACCTTTTGTTGTAAACGAGATGTTTGCAAATTGTTAAGTGCATGCGTATTATTTCGAAGAGAAGGATGAGTACTTGTTGTTCATAAAAATAGATATATTATTGTGCATCTTTGTACCTTGTGCATTTCAAGCCGTTTTACATTGGTGAAAGTTATGAATATGTAATTCTTGTGCCAGCTCGATATCAAATTTTCACTTTTAGGCAAAATTCTCAAATACAATCTAAATTGGATATCGTCCTTTGCCGGCAGCTTATATAGGCCAACACTATTAGATATACATATCTAACATATTTAACATATATTATAGAATAAATATACATTTTTTCTTTCTTAATGTGTAGACTATATACTACTATATTGTAAAAATACTTATATATTTGTTAAACAAAATACTTATATTTTAAAAATACTATTGAATAAAATAAAAATAATAATTAAAAACAATTAAAAAATGTAACATATTGACATGAGCCTTGCTATGATACCGTTAGTCTACTTAATTAGTTTTAATTTAGTTAATAAGTCTACACATAAAGAAGAGAGTGGTTGACCGATGAGTTGCCTTATCGAGAAAAATACTAAGCTTGAATGTATAATATCAAACGTTCCAAAAAACACATCATCAATGTGCAATAATATAATTATATCGACTATAAAGAATATTCACAAATCAATATATAAGTTATGAAAATCAATAATAATAATAATAATGAATGGTTAGTCCGGCCTTGATATTCTTTCCCTCCCTTGTTTATTATTCCTATTAAAATTATTTTATTTTTATGCATTTTCCTTTCCAAACATCTGCTTCCATGCTACCTGGTCTTGTGCTTCCACCTTCAGCTCCCTGTATTTCCTCTTCTCGAGTAAGTCATGACTTACTCGAGAAGAGAAAATACAGCGAGCTGAAAGTGGAAGCACAAGACCAGGTAGCTGCAGCAATCATCTGCTTCTTCCCTATCCTTTCAGTTTTCCTATTTCACCTTCGACTACATCATGTAGAATACACTTTTTACAGAATGGGACTGATCCAGTTTCCTTTCCTTTTAATAATCGTGCTCAGTATAGTTCTTTGAAATGTTCAGTATGATTTTATATAACTATAAATTTCTTTTCAAAATATATTTAATATTTGTTTTTTTTTTCAGATCGTATTAACATCAATGCATCGATATCAACCTGTGATTCATATCGTGAGGGCTTCAGATCCATCTTTAACAACATTGGGAGCTCCTTCAAGACAATTTCATTTCCCGGAGACCCAATTTGTAGCCGTCACCGCTTATCAGGTACTTATACATTTAAATTTTAAAATTTTAACCCTAAAAGACACTCAAGTTTTTACTGAAATGTATATTTACTCTAGCAGGGCACAAGTCTAAAAATCCTATCTATAAATCATAAAATTGTATCACAAATTTTTCAAAATATGCTGTATATTAAAATAGACACTCTTCATTTAAACACGATTATTAACGTGTATATTTCTTTACAGAACGACAGAATAACAAAATTAAAAATCGACAACAACCCCTTCGCCAAAGGATTTAGAGAAACTGGTCAATCGAGATGCAAAAGGAAATTCCAAAACGAGAACTCTGCCCTGAGTAAATCATACGAAAAATCTCAAGAAAAACGATCAAGTTCCCCTGAAGACAGTGGGATATCATCAGGAAGTGAAGAAATACCTTCAACATCCAATTACAGACCTCAACATGTCTTTCATCCACAAACAGTCTGCTTAAACCCACCCGTTATTCCAAATTACATCAACAATTTCCTACCATATGTATTACCGACAATGTACAATCAACAAATGGCCACAGATATGATTCATTCTCCACAATTAGTAGATTTAAGCACAAAAAGTAAAAAGAAATCGAGTTTTACTATTAGAGATATCTTAGGTGATGTTTAAGTAAATATATAAGTAAATAATGTATATATGTAAAGGCTGGGAATATGGCAATAATCAAATCTTTCCAAAAGCAGCTCAAAAAGTTAAAAGAAACAAAATTGCTATATTATATAAATGTATAAAGAACCTAGAATTTTATAAAATGTATATAGAAACCTAGAATTTTATAAAATGAACGTGATGTATTTTTCATAATTAATAAGAAAGTTTGCAGATATGTACAATACATTACTATTTCAAGTATTATGAGTAGTGAATGTAATCAATTATATACTATAATGCATGTTAAAACGTACTTCAAAACGTCTGCTATTATTTTATTAATTAAATTAATCTTTAATCATCAAGACTGAAAAAATTAAGTGCAATTTTAATAAAACAAAGCTTGCAAAAAGTGTTTGGAGAGGCTGTGCCTCATCCAATCGAGGCTTAAATGTACATATGTAAAAAATTGTAAATGTAAGATTAAAGTTTTATAATAATTTGAACAATGTAAAAATGTAAAATAAATATTTCATATCATTTATAATGAAAAAAAAACATTGGTTTTGTTTTTGATTAAACTATAAATAAGTAATCTTCATTTACAGGATCCAAAAAAATTAATTTTGTGCATGTTGTACTCAACTATTTTGCAAATCATTGCTTAAATTAAAAGTATATCAAACAACAAAAGAAATAATCATTAATAGAATCACCCAATTTTATAATATGAATCATAATTTATATTATAATAAAATTTAATAGTAATTAATGTTGGTAACAGCAAAATTCTGAATCATATCGTGAGTACATGGTATGTAATGTTCTGCACAAATGATTTGAAATATTGGAATCCTCCATTTTGAACAAATAATATACAATTATTTTATAATTTTGTTATTGGAGATAACATATTACTATAGAATGTAATATACTCAAATAAGATCACTAATGAAGATTCTTATTTGTAGTTACATATAGGATAAGCATTGAATTTCAAAAGTAAAGGAGTATTTGCAAAAAAAATGAAATAGATTAGTAGATATTTAAAGAAATTAGCAAACAAAATGAAACAGCTAATAAAAGTAAAAATGTTAAAGTTAACTTCAGTATAAATGTTTAAATAAAATTTAAAGTTGTGAACTTTAAATTTGAGTTTAAAGATAGTTGAAGCAGCATACTTAAGTATGCATAAGTAACATATGTGTTAACATTCATAGTAAAGCTGAGCATATAGGAATATATAAATCCATGAGAGTATTGATTATTAATTGCAGAATGGATTGAAATAACTATCTGAAAAGTTTCATAAAAACCATTAAATTCTATTATTTTATATTTATTAGAATCTTAATATAAGATTTTACAATAATTGTGTTACATTGAATCATACAAAATCATATAAATAATTCTAAAAATCAATAAAATCTAATATGAGTACGAATGATGTGAAAATGAGGATGAATAAAATTACAAGCTAATTATTTAATAAGGTCGTTGCCTATCTCGTCCTCTATCTCTGCAAGAAAGAATTCAATGATTAATACAAACTACTTTCAAACAGATACTAAATCAAAATTTATTTAAAGTAATGTGTCCATAGACAGGATGCTCATGCTACTATGATTAAGTCAACACAAGTGTTTTAATATGGATTTTATATGCCCCTGATAGAATTTGTGCAATTACCAGACAATATTAATCTGTAATTGTTGTGAGCAAAGGGGCTCAGAATGGAAATAGAAAAGAAAATAAATGTAATGAACATGTAAGAACAAAAAGTTTGCAAATCTCAATTGCAAATATATCTTGATAGCTTTTTCTTTAAGAAAAAGCATTTATTTAATATGATAAGTATTCACTTACCCTCCACGCATTGAGCCACCTCCTCCAGAATTACGATCACCACCGCCTCCGCGGCCACCTCCATAACCACCACCGCCACCGCGGCCACCACCTCCGCGGAAACCTCTATCACCACCGCGACCAGAATCTCTGTCACCGCCTCCGCGGTTACCGTAACTACCACCTCCACCACCACCGCCGCGGCCGCCTCCACGGCCACCACCTCGGCCGGAGTCACCGCCGCCTGCACCATCAGGTCTTTCTTCACTACACCTAATGGAAACAATATGAAATATGAAAATATAGATTTAATAAAAAGGCAATAAAGGATGTAATCAAATTTTAAGTTCAGTTTAAACAAAAAGATTAACTATAAATTGATAAAATGATGCTCCGGTTATTGCATATGTATCAATTATTTAATTGGACACTGTAAGATTAGTCTGAATCGAGTTATGAGCACAAAGCTCATCTCGCACATTATACTAAAACTGCCAATTGCAAAGGTTTCCAATAAATAAAATTCTCAACCTCCATGCAAATGAGCATGTCTCAGGTTTCAAGAATTGTTTTACACAAATTTCTGGTTCCTTTGCCCTAGTTATTAGCTAGACTCCCTGCTAGAGAGTGAATCCTTACATAGAGGATTAATTGTGACTCAGACCTTCCCGAGACATAAGAGTAATGAATACTCAATTGCAAGTCCCAAGTGCAAGATTAACAGTGTCCAAAATTGATAATCGCAAATAAACCATTCCTATTGAAGAAGAATAGTTTTTATTGTTAATAGTCTTTTACCTGTTGCAGGCATTTCTCCAAGCAAAGTTGGTGTTGGAACAACTAGGACATGTCCAATCGCCATCCCGGCCTCTGTCATCACCGCGGTCACGGCCACCGCCACCTCCACCACGACCGCCTCCAAAACTTCCACGGCCACCGCCGCCTCCGCGACCACCACCACGACCTCCGCCGCCACGGCCACCACCACCTTGCCAGTTATTTTGGCGTTGGGCTAACGAGACCTGAAAAAATTATTTGTATTAATATGGTGTATTTTAAAACTAAAATTATGTGCAATAAATCAATATGAAAGTAACAATTGTATCTATAGACAGGATGCTCATGCTGCTATAAAATAAGCTAACACAAGTGTTTTAATATAGATTTTATATAACCCCTTGTTGTATAGTCATCAGAAATTTGTTTACTGACACATCTGTGAGCTGGGGTAAAGAAAAACATATAAAGACAATATATACCTTAATTACGGATCCTCTAAAATCTTTGCCATCAAACCATTGAATAGCAGATTGTGCTGCATTTGGATCATCATATGTAACTGTTGCTTCGCCTTTAGGTTTTCCTGATACTTTATCTTTGTACATCCAGATTTTAGGCTTCATTGTGCGTTTATCCATCTAATAAAAAGAATGTATATTAATAACAAGAACAATGAACTAGTAATATTTATTGAATATAAATAGCAAATGTTTCATTCTATATAAACTCTCATTGCAATGAAAAAACAATGAGGGGAATAGGGAGAATGAATTACTCTAGCGAAGGAACAAATTGTACACAACTATTTCATTCGTTGAACACAGAGTGCATTCGCATAGCAAATTCAATATTTGAAGATTTGAATTTCATTTTTTTTTTTACTAACCTTTATTACACCAATAGAACCAAAGTGCTGTTCAATGTCTTCCTCAGTCAAATTGGGTGACATTCCAGATACAAAAACTGTGTCCTCTTGTGTGATCATGTCACCGCCTCCAGAATTATATCCCCCTACAACAAATAAGTAAATTTGTGAACCTGACCAGTAAACCATAAGTGACTATTGAAAAGTAATAAAAAGCCAACACTACTCATAAATGAAATCAAATTGAAACTACCCTTCAATAACATTTAACACACACTGACGTACCACCCTTCTTGATATATATCAAGTATTCACACTGAGTTTATTTCAAATTTAGTTTAGAACCCATTGCAGTTTTTTTTTTTTGCAAAAACACTGAAGATCCAGTTTTAACCACATAAAATTTGAAGTAATATTGATAACCATTTTGTAAAGAGTGCTTGTACACATTAACACATTTCTTATGAACCATTATTTTTTCATTTTAACCATTTGATACTAGAATCTCTAATATAATGAACGAAGGTTTCTAGAGAATCCCTATAAAGTATACTAATTGAAGTAAGTAAAAACATGAGTTTACATTTGTAAAGTGCCCTACTTTAATAGTTAACCAAAAAATAAATTAATACTTTAAATTATAGCTAAACTCCTAATGTGTGATCAGTTTATGATTGAATCATGAATAGAACATTTGTTCTAACAAATGAAATGTAAATATTGCTGAATATTGTTTTCTTATACTGTGACTGACAAAAACTCAGTTTTCACAAAAACCACATTTTTATGATTATACCTTTGTTCTTATAGTAAGAATAAATTGTACACGATTTAATTATTATCTGACACTTTCTTCTGATAACGATTGACCAATTACATATTGCAGTCTTCATTACCAATATTGTTTGTGATTACCCAAATTATACAACGCAGTATTTCAAAGAAACGCATACAACCATGTTTAAAAATTTAAAAAATAATTTGTGCACCAGTTTTAAACCGGGCTGTTACCTTTATTATACCCTGGACGACTTCCTCCTCGGCTAAAATCAGACCAAAAGACAGTTGGATGAGTGACGATGTAGAATCATGGTACATTTAGAATATGCCTTTCATTAGATTCCTATTTCTATAACAATGTGGCTAATACATTTAACACAGGCAAGGTTTTTAACTCAAAGCCATGATCGAAATTTCACTTTTTTAAACTAATCTGTTTGGACGAATTAGGGATTGCAAAACTGTTTTTTAAATGTAAACAAAATAAATGGAAAGTTGTAAGTTAAATCGATGCTATTGAGATCAAATTTAATATTAAGCATGTAATGTGAGTTATGATTATAAATAATTAAACAAAAACGCAGGCATTGCAATCCCTATGCATGTGTCTTCACAAGTCAATAGTCACAAGAACATGTTGCCCAACAAGTTAGTTATGAATCTTTTAAAAAATGGACACAAATAGATTAGTCTGAATCGAGTTATGAGCAATGCTCATCTCGCACATTATGCTAAAACTGCCAATTGTGAAAGTTTCCAAGAACTGCTCGAGTTATTGTCTCATTGCCATAGGCAAATCTCAGACTTAGCAAACTCAACAAATTCACAAATTGCTGGTTCTTTCACCATTAGATTAATCATGCTCCCTGCTAGAGAGTTACCTTGATCATTATTAGATCATAATTTTTACTCAGACCTTCCCGGGACATTTGAGTAATTAATACTCGTTTGTTAGTCCCAAGTGCGAGATTACTAGTGTCCATATAATTACCATTTATTTTAGCTAAGTTAAATTTAACGCAGTTTTCAATTTCATACATCCTGTGAACATGAATGCCAGTTAAGTTACCAAAATATATATAAACCATGCTAAAACCTACTAGTTAATGTTTATAAAATAAACGTAACCTAATTTTGTGTCGTAATCACAATCATTTATTCATGGGAACTTGAACATTAAATCATGTAACACTAAAATGCATTTTATTAACCAGATGGTTCATAACCAAATTTATACCAACATTTGAAGTTGTAACCTTGATTATATGAAAACCTTTGACCTGTTTTTTTTTTAAATACAATCCTTAGAATGTTTCCCTTTAATAAATGTAAATGATAACACATTTTTTATGAACGACAAAGGTCTACCCATTCATTTTGATAAAAATTTAAATGTCTTAAAATTAATTACGCATTAAAATATGGTTCTCACCCCATACATTTGTCTACATGAGAGGCCATGAGATGCAGCATTTTTCAAAATTGTTTTAATATTGAGAAAGTAAGATAAGAAAGAATATTTACCTATCATAAGATCCACCACCGCCGCCGCCGCCACTACCACGACGATCATAGTCTCGATCATTACCTCCTGAACCTGCAACATAAAATTTGTTATTTCTAATGTCTGTGATGTGCATTAAGAATAAACTAAAATACTAAATATTGAGCACTATTGGAATAGTCTGAATTGAGTTATGAGTATTGAACTCATCCTGCACATTGTACTAAAATAGCCAGTCACAAAGAATTTCATGAAAAGTAGAAGAAACTTCAATGTTTCTAACATCTCTTAAGCAAATCTTCCACTAAACTAATTTCTGGTTTCTTTGCCCTGAAATTATTCAGGCTTCCTTCTAGAAAGTGAAATTGACAAACTCAGACCTTCCCAGGACGTTTGAGTAATAAATACTCATTTGCAAGTCCTAGTGCAAGATCAATAGTGCTCAAAACAAGGTAGTTTAACTTTAAAACTTAAAAGCATAAGATTAAATTGAAATCATAAATACCATTATAGCTGTTTCCTCCATAGCCTCCACCTCCGCCACTTTGATATCCACCACCTTGACTTCCACCATAACCGCCGCCTCCACCACCTCCTTGATTTCCATAACCACTTCCACCTCCTCCGCCTTGGTTACTGTTAAATCCACCACTTTGGCCTCCATAACCACCTGATTGACCACTGGAACTATAGCCTCCTGAAGTACAAAAAAAAATCATTAGAACAAATAAAGAAATGTTGAAAGTTGTGAGTGATTTAAGTACTTTGTCAGAAACAAGTTCTACCCCTAATAGTACAAACAGTTAGGGACTATCATTGTTCAATTGATATTGCGACAAAGTGGAAGGAAAAAGACCATTTGTCAGTCACCATGCCTAAGTCGCTAAATGCATACAATTGCAATGTTGAATACTATAATAATGGAATTGAAAAAAGTGGCATCGAAATTCATAGGCATAACATAGGTTATTTCGCACAATGTGCTACAAACCTTGAGATCCATAGCCGCTATTTCCATTACCAGAATTACTGTTCCAGTTACCTTGGTTGTATCCACCACCACCGGAGGATTGATCATAGCCGCCTGAGGGGTAACTGTTTCCGCCACCAGCTCCAGTAGCTGGAGGAGGTGTGGAATATTGACTCTGTGCACCTCCACTGCCGTAATTTCCGCCACCATAACCTCCGTAATCTAAAAATTAAGAGAATTAATTAGAACTGAGAATTTTAAATTTATATTAAATTATAGAATACTATAAGAATTGATTGAAAATAGAATATACCTGAATGCATTATTAAAATAAGACTTAAATACTATTGAAATGCAACTAGTGATTTTTTTTTTTAATGCTTTATGTGTCCGCCATTTTAAGCAAGACGACGCCGCTTATGATCGAAAAAACTCATTTTACTAAGATATTACAAAAACAAGTTTTTATTGAACATTGAAACCTTTATTCACAGCATAAAGCAACTAAATTTAATGATGATTAAAGTAAAAGTAATTTAATATATGGAAAGTAGCGTTAGAAACATTAGTTCACTACAATTAGAAATTTTCATGATACATCAAATATCAAATCTTTAAATACGGATTGTAATATTTTACTAATACTATAAAGCTTATTTTATACACTATTTTAACACCGCTCCTTTATAAAACCACGCCATTGAATTGAATATATTTACATGGAAATATAATTGAAGCACACATCTTTCACTACACTAAAACTAATCAATAACACAATATAAATAAAAATGTACTTACGATCGCCCATTGTGACTGAATGGGCTTAAGTCCAAAACTTTGTCAATGAATAAAATGTAGTACTGCTATTTCACTGCGAACTCAAAACTAAAAGTGAATCAACTTAGTGAATGACTCTTGCTCGTTCCTCCCTGTAGCTTGATGTGGACGGATGCGGATAGTGTACACCAACATAAAAACATAAAACTCGTGTAACCAACACTAGAAATAAAAAAGCATCTACGGAATACTAAGCAAGCGGTAAATTTGAAATATCGATTTGCTAAAATATTTTATACAAATAATTAAAGCGTATTGTGATTGAATAATACTGATACAAAAGCGCAAATTAAAAAAAAATTAATAATTTACATTGATATAAAAAATACTATTTAATTATTTAATTTAATTTATTAAATATATGTATTTAATAACTATAAATATTGTATATTCAAAATAAATAAATAAATAATATCTATATTAACTATATGCAAAAATAAGATTCATTATATTAAACAAAACAGTTCTCTGAATTATATAATGAAGAATTTACAACACTAACTTTGCATATAAAAAATACATACAAAATTTAGAAGCATAGATAAAAGAAGAGATGTTTAGAAGCTTGTTCAAGTAAAAGATTTTGTTTCAAACCTTTATTTTTTATATAATCATTTATTTAATACACATACAACATTTACATTTAGACTTGAAATTGAGTTAAAGAACTAAATTTACACATTTGTTAAATATTATAATCACAACTCAGTAATTATAATCTGTTCATTAATTTAAAAAACTATCCCATGTAGCATTGTTGCTTTAGAAAATACATTATAAATTCATTCGTAAGCACTTAATTTACAATTTGTAAAGACTGGTATTCAACTTTCAATTCCATCTAAGTTAGTTTTCTAATTCCAATTTTATTTCATAGTAGAAACTAGCAAATCATTTTTATACAGCTTCAGAAAAGAATATTGATTGCTTCGAAGGTTTTGTACAAAACTTGAATCCCTACAGCATTGTTTAGCAACATTATTTATATAAACTTATATTGTTATATAAGTCAAATTCAACATTGCATATAGTTGATGGTTTTAAATCAAATATTTAAAATAAATGTGTAGTAACTGCATAATAGTATATATTTAAATTTCCACAACTTATTAAGTTTTCTATTTCAAATAGATCACTTTTATCAAATGATTCAACATCAGATAAAAATATTTCTCGAGATTGTATCTATTCTACTTTTTCCCTGTGGTTTACATCATCTGAAATTTGACTTACATTGTAATGATTAGAGTATTTATATCTGCTATTGTAAAGGCTATTGTAAAAGTATAATCTTCTTTTATCTATGTGTAAAGGATTGACTGGCATTTATTAATTGGCAAACTTCATAGCATATTAAAGCATATTTGTTGATATTTGTTGTCATTATATTCATTACAATTTCTGTAGTTAACAGTTGTAATAATATAATTTACAAACACTAAATTTTGTGTTTATGAAGTGATTTGATATAGTAAATGTACATTGTTTAAATCATAAATAAATGTGGAAGAAATTTGCAAAATACTACCATAAGTAAGTGACATTTACTATTATTTATAACTTTAGCTATATTTTTTAAAAACTGAAATTATCAAAATAAATCGAATATGTAAACAATAAATGATATCCATCATTTCTTATTGACATTGATAATATGTGAATACAAAAAATAGATGATTGATTTGAATAGCCTTCATTAATTCTATAAATCTACATCGACACCTGATTGTTTGTGATCATCGCTTTCTTGCATAAAGTTGAACTTAAACATCGTATATTATTATATTAAATATCGAATTTAGATTAATTTCAATCAGTTTAACACAAATATTTTACTATCTACCTAGTCATTTTTCTAACCTACAGTTTCCACATTTTTTGACATAAGCCACTCACAACTAATGATGCAGCGGCGCCATATTCAAATAATATGATTTAATAAAATATTCAAAAAATATGATTTATTGCTTTTATTTTGATTTATTTATTACTTTCATGTCATGTTATTCCTTGAATTATTATTATTATTAACTTCCCGTAGGGCAAGTTATAGTAATCGCAAAAAAATCGAAAATGAACATTTTGGCATGTATGTATGTGTGTGTGTGTGCGTGTATGTATGTATGTTCGGATACAAATTTTCGTCGACGATTTCGGGAACACGGATCAACCGATTTGAATAATTCAAAAAACATTCGATTCGTATTGATAAGGAGACGTAATGATTAGTTTTTGGCGAATGCAGGTCTAGCCGTTCCGAAGATACGGGGCAAAAAGTGCCGAAAACGGTAACTCAGTTTTTAAGAGAACGGAGCGTCCGATTTGAATAATCCAAAAAAACATTTTATTTGTATTGACTAAATGAAGAACTGTTAAAATTTTTGGAAATGCAGGTCCAACGACTTTGGAGATATGAAGGAAAAAGTAAAAAAATGGCCATTTGGCGGTCGTGTTTATGCAGTTAAAGCAGTACAATTGCTTTGAAAAAAAGTTCAGAATTTTCAAAATATTTTAAAATAAATGATTTAAGATAGAATGATTTAATATGGTTTGAAATTCTATTAAAAGTTTCAAATCATTGATCAACTTTTATTGATTATTATTATTGATTATTTTTAATTATTCGAATTTTGAATTGCGGTACGGGAATTTCCAGCAATTTGCCTTAAGGCACGATGCCCTAATTGCCTTAAGACAGAATTCCACTTACAGCTAGTTTGTTTAAATTTCCAAAGGCTTACTATAATGAAAGAAACATTTCAATTTGTTTTATACCGTAGAAGAAGTTAATATTTTCTTAACTTTTCAAGTTTTGCTAAATCGTTGAGACCAAATTTGGAAAAAGTATGTATGTGTGTATGTGACCAGATTTTTTATCTTTTATAAACGGTTTCTCAAAAATGTCTTCACCGACTTCAAAAGTTAAAAGCCACTTGATAGGAGCTCACGTTGGTTAGTTTTTCTAGAAGATCGATGAAACCAGGTGGAATCGTTTCTTTAGAATTAGCAGAAAATCTTACCATTATGATATCATTTGGGAATCGTGCTGATTTGCTTTTTTTTCGTTGTTGATTGTTGTTGAAAATCTAAAATGAAAATTTTTGCATTTCTCGACATTTTGAAGGCTTTTGTACATTTTGGCATACCTCAGAAAAATGGATGTGTGTGTGTTTTGTATGTCTGCATTTTTTCGTCCACGTTTTCGGGCGCAAGGATCAACCGATTTGAATGGCTCAAATAACATTCGACTCCTATTGATAGGGAGATGCGCTGATAAGTTTTTGGCAAAGGCAGGTCCGGTCATTACGGAGATACGGAGCAAAAAGTGCAGAAAATACAAATCGAGTTTTTGAGAGAACGGAGTATCGGATTTGAATGATATGAAATACATTCTATTTGTAATGATTGGGAGAAAAGAGGATTAGTTTTTAGCAAAAGCAGGTCTAGCCATTTCAAAAATATAGAGCTAAATGTGCAAAAAATGGCAGATTTTGAGAGAACTAGACGTCCGATATGAATTATTCAAAGAATTTTCTGCTTGTTTCAACAAAATATTTGCCCTATTTTTTTCAAGAATTTTTTTTGTATATCGAAAATAATTCAGATTTTAATTTTAATTCTGACTAAAATTCTAATCTACTTTAAACAAATAATTTCAACTTTGCAATTCATATAAGTGCAGTTTATATAATTGCAGTTTATATAATTCTTATAAATATTAGACAATGTTACAATATTTATAATAATCTATATGAAAACATTTAATATTCCACGATTATTTTGTTACGGTGCGGGAAGTTCCAGCAATTTGCATTAAGGCACGATGCCATATACCACTATTATTCTCATGACCATTTTCACTCTCTATGGTCCTTTCTGAAAATAATTAGTTTTCCTATAGGAATGTTTTGGTGGTGGTACATAATTAGCAAGCATGGGTTGTGCCGCTTCAGAATCCTAGTTAGCTTTAAAAAGTGTATCTTGCAGTCTTTGTATCATTTTTTTTTTTTTGAGAAATTTAAAGAATTTTAGTGTTTGAAAAGCAATAAATGCTTATCTGCAATTTTTGCATATGAATTCATATCACTAGTTTTATTTTATAAAATTTAACTTCTATTCACCCCACAGCTGTCGGCAGTATGAGGTAGAGTAACGGTACAACGAATGTGGTAACCTATTTTTGCTGCAAATTTCAAAAACGGACGGTAAATAATCATTTTATACCAGTGTACAAATGAACAGTGTGATCCTGTTACTGTTAATGTTAATGCTGATCACTCCTACTTTCCTGAGGATTTTCGATTTATGTGAGTTTTACTTTTATTATTATCACCGGATGTGTAATGGTCGCTTTGGGGATTCGATCCGAGTCCATATGGGTTTGCAAGTCGAGCGCTTTACCACTTGGCCACATAACCGGTGTTTAAATGCAGGATTATTCAATTTTATTTTATAGATAACCGCTAAGCATTAAGTTGTACAGCTAAATTTAGTTCTGATAAAACACATTTTTCGAAAAGTTGACAATTTCGTGATTATCTTAAGCAAGTTCACACATTAAAGGCTGTAAAGAAAAGTCGGCTTGTGATAATAATTAATTCACTAATTTATACTTACAACTATAGTTAAACTTATAGGAAATGACAACATATTATTACGAATTGATAGTGTATGCTTTCAAAATTAAATTATTTTTATTTTATAATAATATTACGGTTTATTACGGTGACTTGCATATAATTGTGGTTATATCATTTAATACGTTTAGGCTTTAGAAAGTTCATTAAAAAATTCTATTTGATCAATCATTTTGAAACCATAACAAAGTAACAAGCTTTTCACTTATGTCCTTTATTTCGGTATACCCTAAATACAGTAACCATCAAAGAACAGAATTATGCTCTTATTTTCAATTACTCTAGTCTCTCTATAGAGTATATAGATTTTGCCCTTCCACAAATTTAGATTTTCCTATATATAAAAAATCGAGAATATTAAAAAAATTGATAAATTTTTATAGATATATTGTTATATTTTTTAATATTATCGTAGTTCATATGAATGCGACATTATTCTGGATTAATAATCTTTTTTTTTCGGATTATTTGGAGGGTTAAAATCAGGGGTCAATATGCGTGTTCTTTATTCAAAGAAATGAGTTTATGAATGGTTTTCATTGAGAAAAAAATTTTCAAAGATATATCCATGGTTTATTTTGCTAATTTTTCGCCGTTTTAATTTTTTCAAATTTTCAAAGATATATCTATGGTTTATTTTCATGGTTTACTGTTCACGTTTTTTTTAAATATAATCAGGAACTCATTGGACAAAGTCTTTTTAATGAAAGGACAATTATCACGAGTGATGAGCTTTCAATCTTATCCGTTTTTGAAGATCTCCACATACACTCCGCGAAAAATCGAAATCTTTGGTTGCAACGTCGATTTTTTTGCAAAAAAGTCGAGTTTGTTTTGCAATTTTTAGAACGTTCTAACTGGTTCCGAAAAATTTTAGGGCGTTGATTCCGAAAATGCTGTCCGTTTTTTAGATAAACTCCGATACATGAGTAGAATATCAAACTCTTTGATTGCAACATCGAAATTTTGGCAAAAAAAATGGATTTGTTTTCACAATTTTCGAAATGTTTTGACTGATTTCAAAAGATTTTGGGACGGTGATTTTAAAAATCCTATTCGTTTTTGGATAAATCCACATACACTCCGCGAAAAATCGAAATCTTTGGTTGTAAAATCGATTTTTTTTCACATGAATCAAGTTTTTTTTCGCGATTTTCAAAATGTTTTGATTGGTTTTAATAGATTTTGAGACGCTGAATTCGAAAATGTAATCCATTTTTAGATAAATCTACATACCTCTCCTAAAAAATTTTACTAATGAAATGAACATTTTTTTCGCGATTTTTCAAATGTTTTGATCTATTCTGATAGTTTTCGAGTCGCTGATTCCGAAACTGAAATTAGTTTTTGAAAACAAAAATTCTTTCTACCTCTGCTACCAACTTGAAGTTTGAAAAATTGCCAACTTTGAAGCTGATTTTAACTATGAAGACGATGATAAATTTGTATTTTTTTGGTATAAAGATTACTAAAATTACTAAAATTACTTACTAAAAACTTACTAAAATTTAGTGCAAACTAGTATATATATTTGGATACTAAAATTTCGTATAATTTTTAACTGAAACGCGAATTTGTGTCTGTGTACATTTTATCAAACAACTTGAAAATTTTGTTCTAGGCATTTCAATTTATCCATATTATTAAAAAATAGATGAAATTTAGATTTATAATTACTAAATCATATTACAAACATAGAATTCATGCTTTTTTTTAAACACATTCTACTCAATTTCAAAATGATACCAAATTATTCGATCATAATAAATGATGTATTCTACAAATTCATTTCAAGTTGAATCCATGGACTATCTATGCATTTTTTAAGCTTTGCAAATGATTCTATTTTAGATGCATATCCTTAGAATAAATTTTGATTCTTATTACAGGTGCCTATGACTTATAAGAATGCCTTAAAAGGAACCTTACAACCACTAATTGGACAAAATCTTTTTGATAGAAAGGACAAAATTATCCTGTTTGATGAGCTTTTAGAGCGTGTATCATCAACCAAACAACGAAAACTTTGTGTGCAACATCGTAATTTTAGCAAAAAAATAGATTTGTTTTCGCAATTTTGGAAATATTTTGACTGATTCCAAAAGATTTTTGGACGCTGATTTCAAAAATGCTATCTATTTTTGGATAAACCCACATACACCCCGCAAAAATCGAAATCTTTGGTTGGAAAATCGAGTTTTTTTTATAAAAAAAGGACTTTGTTTCGCGATTTTCAAAATGTTTTGATTGGTTTTTGATTGATTTGGGACGCTGATTTTGAAAATATTATCCGTTTTTGGATAAACCCACATA